TAGGTGGATAGACCTCATTGAGGAGGAGTGCAGTGCACAAGAATGATAACTCTACCATGCATAATTTTTCAGTTATTGCCCTTTGTTATTTTTCAAAATTGATTTTTGTCCAAAGCATAACTCCAAAAAGCTTATGAGATATCAAAATGAAACTTCATAGGTGCATAGATCTCACTCAGGAGGTGTGCAGTGCACAAGAATGGTAACTCTACCTTTCATAATTTTTGAGTTATTGCCCTTTGTTATTTTTCATACTTAATTTTTCACCTGACTGGAGCATAACTCAAAAAGTGTTTGACAAATCAACATGAAATGTCATAGGTGGATAGATCTTATTGAGGAGGAATGTTGTGCACAAGAATGATAACTCTTCCCTATACAATTTTTGAGTTATTGCCCTTTGTTCTTTTTCATGCTATTTTGTCCGGAGCTTATCTCAAAAGGCCTTTGAGGTATCAACTTGAAACTTCATAGGTGGATGGATCTCATTAAGGAGGAGTGCAGTGCACAAGAATGATAACTCTACCCTGCATAATTTTTGAGTTATTGCCCTTTGTTATTTTTCAAAATTAATTTTTGTCCAGAGCATAATTCAAAAGGCCTTTGAGATATCAAAATGAAACTTCATAGGTGGATAGATCTCACTAAGGAGGTGTGCAGTGCACAAGAATGATAACTCTACCTTTTATAATTTTAGAGTTATTGCCCTTTGTTATTTTTCATACCTAATTTTTCACCCGAGTGGAGCATAACTCAAAAGTGTTTGAGATGTCAACATGAAACTTCATAGGTGGATAGATTTTATTGAGGAGGAATGCTGTGCACAACAATGATAACTCTTCCCTGTACAATTTTTGAGTTATTGCCCTTTGTTCTTTTTCATACTACTTTGTCCGGAGCTTATCTCAAAAAGTATTTGAGGTATCAACTTGAAACTTCATAGGTGGATGGATCTCATTGAGGAAGAGTGCAGTGCACAAGAATGATAACTCTACCCTGTATAATTGTTTAGTTATTGCCCTTTTTTATTTTTCAAAATTAATTTTTGTCCAGAGCATAACTCAAAAGGCCTTTGAGATATCATTATGAAACTTCATAGGTGCATAGATCTAACTCAGGAGGTGTGCAGTGCACAAGAATGATAACTCTACCTTTTATAATTTTTGAGTTATTGCCCTTTGTTATTTTTCATACTTAAATTTTCAATTCAATTTTTTTCTCAAAAAGTATTTGAGGTATCAACTTGAAACTTCATAGGTGGATAGATTTTACTGAGGAGGGATGCAGCACACAAGAATGATAACCTCGCCTGCATTATTTTTCAGTTATTGCCCTTTGTTATTTTCAGCTATCAGTATGAAATTCACATAGGTTTCAAATTTGTAATCACTATAGCCGTCAGTTTTCATTACCAAAAGACCTCTTAAAATGGAATTATTCTGCTGTACTACATATACATTCTTCCAATGCGCAAACACATTCGGCAGGGGATGGCCATGTTGACATGGTTCTTGTTATTATTTAGTTCACAATGTATCATATTACAAAGTTCAAAATCCAAACTCTAATTTTAACGAAAACTCGGTCAAAACACTGACATATCTTATAAAATCCATTTACAATTAGTTGCAACAACTCAATATGTGAAAGTACATGTATACATGTAATATACCACTGGAAAGATTATTGATTTTTCTAACCAACAGTATATTTCCACACGATTTGCACGTGCAATAAAATTTGAGCAGGTCATTAAAAAACATGTGGTTTTGTATACTGGTTGTAAACATGGCTGAGTTGCATTGTGATTTGAGAGAAGAGCAAAGAGCTTATTGTAAAATTCGTGGGTTATTGGGTAAATACGCATCGGAAATAAATACGGAACTAGATTTAGTTTATGGAGAAAATGCCCTTCCATATTGTACAATTGCCAGGTGGATGTCAATGTTGAAGGAAGGTAGAACTGATACCCGCCAAAGGTACATCTGAAAAAGACAGCTCTGTCAAAGCCATAATTAATGAAGATACAAGATATAACGTGGAGGAGATAAGTGATATATAATAGGCCTGTCCCAGAGTCTAATTTAGCTTTAGACAACTTGAGATCATTTACTTTACATAGACTTGTATAAATCGTCTTTGAATGCACATGTCATATAAACATCCGGCATATAGCACTGCCTTATATAAATTTACAATAGTTACATAACTTGTATCCCTGTGGTAAAATATAGTGCAACCCGGGGTCTTTTTTTGTAATATCATTGTTTTTAATACAGATATAAGGCAATTTTCGCTTCATTAATGGGTTGAAAAAGGTGTTTTGTTTGTTTGTTGTTTATAGCAAAGAACTTGATACAGACGTTTTCTCACATACTGATAATTAGTATAATATATATCACCACAAATGTACAGTAAATCAGGCCTATTCTGTTTGCTCTGTTAATTTCACAATGGTGATACATATTTATAACATAAATTGTGAAACTGTGGTATAATGTCAATACCATGCATTCATACTTCCCACGGCATTTTACACAGCTTTATTACAGATACAGACAATAGCAACAATAGATAATGCGAACCTCGTTATTAAGCAGACATTTTTGTTTCGGTGATCATACGACACTATTAGTTCATACTAATTTATTTTAGTTCGATTGTGTTGGAAGCTATAAGCTTACTGAAACAGACTCGAACCAGCCAGTACTAAGGAATAAATGTACAGTAGAGTTTCTTGCTCAATGAAACAACGGTTTGCGCCTGACGGGGTTTGAAACCATGCGGCCAGCAATCCTTAGATTACTAGTCAGTCCGACGCGTTAACCACCATTAAGTCACTCTACACTATTAAAGTCACATGGCAACCTTCCAGCTTACATGTTAAGGAAGACCTCATACGCCCTAACCTTAGCTTTCAAATCAGGTCTGAGATTTACAGGGCTACTGTCATGTAGTTGTCTAGTTAAAAAAGAGGAGAAACTCTTGCAGCTTATAGAAGAGATTTGCATTAAAATATAGACTGGTGACAGCAATTTGTTAATATGTCATATCCTTATTATCTCCCTTTTCTGTTTATGTTTGCGCAAGGTGGAACGTAAAGTCGAACGAGAAATTTGATATCACGAGAAACAACATAACGAGTATGCAACCAGGATCACATATCGGAGTTTAACTAAAATTTATTGCACCGGAAATCAACGTACCTTTTTAAAAGAAACATGTTCTGTTTTCCATTCAATATTTTGTCCTCTATTTGCATAAATGTGTTATAAACTGTTTAGACATACTACCCGGATGTATTCTGGAAATAAAACTCTTGAAAGCTCATGTAAATTGTGGGAATTACAACCAATACATTTTGTGTTGGGAATAAGAACCAATACATTTTGATATAGGTTTTCTATCAAAAGATCTCCGTTCCAACCAATAAAATTATGAGGATGAAAACACCCCTCCCCCATCACGCCCTTACCTACGCCAATAGATCGGTTACTAACCAATATGTCATATTTTATACACAAATGTTTATAACAGAGAAAACAACCCGCATTTCGCATTCGTAAATGATATTGCAACAAGATTCCGCTTACTTATCATTTGACGTGGAAATCCTGATGTAAGTAAATAACATTTTGATTTTTCGTTATTAGGAAACTTCAGAACAGACGGTACTGATCAAAGTGTCAGATGCCCTTGTAAGGACATTTAATAATTTACCATTTTGTTTATCACCAAACAATCTGTGACAAGGGTTTTCATAGATAGGTATGTAATCAAGTCTAATCGTATTTTTTGGTTCATTAAAATATTTATAATAAACATTTTGCCTTAACATTTTAACATTTTATTGTAACGGTAGTACATTGACAAAAAAACCAAATAAAAAAAAAACAACAAAAAAAAAACACAACAACAACAACAACTGACAGCTTATTCCAACACTTGCGAGCCAAAGTGGGGTACGCCCTAAGTAAATTGGCCATAAAATATGTTTACTGTATCAATTTATTAATTCACAGTCTGACATATAATCTTTTTTTTTTTGTAAAGCTTTGAGTGTAATTTAAAAGAATACTTAAAATAAGAAACAATAATACAGTTATTTTGTATTTAAGTATAATATATGCATCTTAAATATGATGTTTAATAGTTAAGTGTAGTTAGCAAGATTTGGTTAATCAGTTACTTTTTTTTGTTTTTTTAGTTCATTGTTATAGCTAATAATACGAATAAAGTTTTATTTTCTTTAACATCTTATTTGATCTTTGATCTCATTAATTATTGTGATTTATTTGTCATTTGATATGAGATTGGAAACTAAAGTTATTCTACTCTATGATTTGCAACAAAATGAAACCGCTTTTCAATAAAAAAGCGCACATTAAACGTGTTTTAAGTTGGTACCAACTATTTCAAAATTCATAAAATGAGAAAATTTGCTATTCGTTTGAATTTTCCATATAAAATCATTTAAAATCCATTTTAGTAAGAACACTCAATAATTTTTCGTGTCTCGTATTTAAATTTACATATGCGATACTTAGATAATGAAATTAATTGATCTTATAAAATCAATGGAATTGTTATACATAATAACATTTTATGAACCATTTTCTGAAAACCTACTTTCATTTGCTATAAAAATTATTGATAATAAAAATTGTACGCTTTAAGAGCAGAACATTATTTTCTGTCAGCCACAAGTCGTAAAAAACGTGAGTAATACAATAATATTATCATCAAGATACAAACCCTTCCGACCTACAAAAATGTGTTAGAAATATTTAGCAATGCCTATCACACGAAGTTATACTGGAAAATCCTGATTAAATGCAAAAAATGTTTAACAAAAATAACGAAAATCTATTGTCATTGCATGATAGAATATTTAAATATTGTCTCATAAAATTAAGCTTTAAACCACTGGCACATTTAAGCAATATAGGGGTAATTCATTTAACTGATTATATAGATTATATAAAAGCAACCTCGCAATAAAAAAGGTAGGTATTATTTCTAAATTCACCGTACTTATATTTTGTTTCTTTTTCCCTAATAGAATGCAGAGATGTTTCAACTTGCATTAGTATGTTTGTATGTGGGTTTTGGTCAATCAAACGGAGATACATCTGTTTTGTCACGAATACCGGACATTGTCAACTATCTTTGTCCCGGAGGTGACATTTGCTTAAGCAGTCGCTCATCCGGAACTGCAGACGACATTTCGTTTAAAACAGGAACAGAATCTTGCTGTGCTGGTAACTGTATAAATATATATTTTTACACATAAACTAATCTAATTTATGCTTAAAAGTAAAAGAAAAAAATGTTGTAGTAGAATAATGCACAGTGCTGCACGCTATGAAAATATTATATAGATCTATATTTATTCTGTTAATCAGAAAAAGTGATGAAAGATTAAATAATAATAATAAACCAGAGGCGCAAGATAAGTAAAATTAATTGGATGCGGCAACTGAAAGTGGTACAAAACTTAGACGACAGTTAAATGTACAGTTTATTTACTCTTACATGTATATTCAGTACTTTTGTAAATGATACAAAATTGATGTGCAACGTATGAGACATGGTAGTAGTTTTAGTCAAGTTTACAGGAGCCATATCTTCTGTCAAAATTAGATTAATATTTCTTTTTCTCGAAATATTCCGTTGTTTGCACCATATGTTCTTGCTCTTTATTCCAGTTACAATTTTTTCCCAATCAGAACACATCGATTAATTATTCTATATAAGAGGGATTGAAAGTTGTCATACATGTGGTTTTAGATGTTAACAGAAATAGAGGGTGTGAACTGTCTATAATGTGAACGATTGTATATATTTGATATCTAAAAATATAAAGTCTATTTCCAGAGTATCATTATTAAAAATATGTCTGAAATAAAATCAATTTTAAAACGCCCACTGTTGTACAATCATTATCAAATCCGGACCAATTTCAACATGCATTCTTCCATGATCAGAAAAATGCAAATAATGTACCGTTTACTTTTATATTTATAAATTTACTTAATTTACGTGGACTTTAACATTAAACTACTATTCGTTGACCGAAATACCGTATCTGTTCTGTATGTTATTACTATTGTGTACGAGATCCTTATCCGGAGTTTGACGGAAAGGGTCAAGAGGATGTATTCTCCATAATTACTGACCTTCTATTACAGAATGCTCATGCTCAGCTGAATGCCCAGAAACTGGTAACTGTTGCTTTCCGGATGCATTGCTATCTAAAAATCACATAAATGAAAAACTGGAGAAGTTTCAACATGATCGTTCTTGTCTTTATCCTACACTGCCTTATCCAGCAAGAGATGAAATTTTATATCAGTCGTTCTTTATGGTTTCCTCTGTTCAGGATATTTCATCAGGCGGTCAGGAAGGCCTATCTGATTCATCCTGTGGTGATATAAAAGTTGCTCCCTGGGGCAGTTTTTATCCCGTTTACTCTGCAAAGTCAGGACTAATTTATAAAAACATAGAATGCGCAAACCAAAATGGTGAAGATACTGACGTTATAATTTGGGATGCGGTTATCAAATGCACAGATGCCGACGTCACGCAAAGTATCACCATGATTTCCAGTGGAACAGAACAAGACTCATTTTATGAAAGCTGTCAAATACATTTTATCTTCCCTGGTACTTATGATGTTTTACAACCGTTGAAATGTTACACCAATCTCATTGACACTTGCCCCGAATCTCAGGATTTTCAAGTGCCTGTAGGAATAAATGTTTCAAAAGACGATATAAGGACACTCTGTACAAAAAGTGGCATGGTGTCGCCATATCGAAATCAGAAAATGTATGCAAATGCCTTTTGTCACATTTGTAATGGAGAGGAATTTTTTCGTCATATATTTTGCCCAAAATATGGTGAAGATTTTATCTTTGGAGGTAAAAGTGGTACTGGAGAAGGACTAATAGCACTGATTGATGGTAACTTTATAGCTGTGACTAGTGATAGACACCATTCCAAGGTAAAGGAATTACCAACAGCATGCGCAATAAAAGATGTAAGTTGTTTTGAGTAAGGTTTTCAGTGATATAAAATATTTCATAGAATAAATACATTTTTTAAGAACATATCACTTTGACATGTTAAAAAATGAATAGTTATATAAAAATAACTTATTAGGAAATCATCTTTAATGTTATTAAAATTTATCAAATTGAAGGTTTTAACACTTATTTCAAAGTTTTTAAGAGTTGTCATTATTTCGGTTTGCTGCTCAACCAATGTGGATTTTATGTGTTATATTTAAAATTGTCTTTTTTATCCTAGGAAAACAGCTGCCGTCAAGTCCTTTGTCCGAGTGGACAGCTAAGAGACAGAACAAATAAGTGTGTATATCCGACTAATATTTGGTACAATCAAATATATGCGGTATATATTAATCTTACATTGAAAAATCCTATTAACGTATCTGAGGTCTTTGATATTCCATACGGGTACATATTGTCATCAGTTTTGCCTTCTCTAGAATCAACATGGTTGAGAAGATGGTTTATTTATTCTATATTCTATAGAGTGATGGATCAGCCACAAATGTCAAACAACGTTATAATCATTATGCATAGAAAACTGTCAAAAGTTAAACCGGACAATCTAATTACAAACATAAAGAAAATAATTGGAAACACATGGTCAATGCGTTTAGGAAATACCACGGAAGTTCTTAAATCAGCAAACTTTTCTATGAGTTTGTCATTTTGGAGTCAAATCCATCGGAGTAAAGATTATACATCATATAATATCACGGAGAAACTGGAAAAACCACAGTATAAATTAGTGTATGTTTCTAGAATTCCTATGCAGAAAACACATATCATTACCGGGCTATACATTTGCGTACAAATTGAGCTAAACCCATCAGAATTTCTTCTGCTTGAAGATAACCGAGTCCTCTACATTTATATTTCAAAGCGCTTCGTTTTTGATGGTCGATTTGTCCTTTCGCGAACTTTCGGGGAAACTCATGCCAGAATTTGCATTGAAGACTCGGGATTGTACGAAAGAGGCAGGAATGTGGCTACAAATCTACAAAACGTTTATCCCTGTTTTATTGTCGCAAGTCTGTTGTCGATTCTTTTACAAGCAGCAGTATCTTGATTTTAAAACTACTTTTCATTGCGAGAGACTATCTATATTTATATTTAGATGCTAGTATTCTCTTTGTTTGTTAATAGTTTGATATTTTTGATGTCCATATATGTGACGCATCCTAAAGAGTTTGTTGATGTTTTATTTTTGGTGGGGTGGCGAGCTGGCGTGGCGAAGGAGAACGTGGGTAATGCCATTTGCTTCGTTCCAGAAGCGATCCTGTTTTTTGCATGCTCAATGTAGAGCACGGATCAATTTAAGTTTAAACAAATGTATTATTTTTTCTCATAATTTTACTGGATTTTAAAAAAAGTTAATTATGATTTACCTAGACTTAGGTGTATTCTTATAATACAGGGATCCTGAGGGTGACAAGGTCAAGGATTTGGTTAGTATGTAGTACCGCTCTGAGATTGGACAACTTGCATTTTTTTTACGAAAATCACGCCAAAAAATTAATAAAATAAAATAAATAAATAAAAATAATAATAATAAAATCACAATGAAAATCAGAACATGCATGACCCCTGCCAACACTGGAAAACTAATAAATGTCAACCCCCTTTGGAATACGTGCTTCCCCTTGCCAATCTGGTAAAAAATCCTGAAGCCGCGACTTCATATATTTTTTAGTTACTGTAGGTTAAAACTGAATGTAAATTCTACATGTACTAGATAAAATATGTCCTTAAATTAATAATAAATGACAAGATAAAGGAAAGTCTAAAAAGATTACCTGGCGCACCGAAAGAGCAGCCTCTCCGTAAACTTTTTGCAGATCTTCACGAATATCCTAAAAAGACTTTCCGAGTTTTTTGTAAAACATTATAAAGATGCGCTGTTCTGACGCCATTTTCGAACGAACGCCCGTACGGTTTATGACGTCATAAGTGATGACGTCAAAGTTGTATACCAGTACATAGTACGATTCAATTAATCTGTTTACACAGCATTTAAAGTTTCACTTTAAACGGACCAGTAGTTTTGACGCTATTGAATTAGTTTACGACTTTCGTAAATAATTATTAACTTAACATGTCTGGGAATATGAGGAACTAATACACTATATTAAAAAAAACACAAAAATTATATTGTATTTTGTAATTTATGGCGGTCATATTGTTGCCATCTTGAATTTTTGTACTTTTGCCCGAGCTGAGCCTGTGTAACTTAAGAAATGTTAAGAAGGTTTTAGCAACTACAAACAAGATGCTGTACAATGTTTCTTTTTGTGATAAAGTCAATTGCAATAAAACTCCGCTATCTCTTGGACTATATTGTTTGAAACAAAATTTTGCTTTACCAGAAAAAAAATAGTTCTCCCAAATTAACATTTAAAACATTCTAATTGACTTAAAAAGAGGTAAAAGGTAGTTTATATAGATTTATTTAACCTATAGATCTTCGATCAGCGCTTCTTATGTAAAATTCTTCTTAGTATAATTTCCAATAACCGTAAATTATACCATACCCAGACTATGGTATAATTTTCAGTTTTTCTGGGCGGAGCAATAGGTTAAAACAGTAGCGTCATGTTATTTTGATTGACAGCTCATTTTACGTCATTTCTGCTATGCAAATTAAGATGGAAGGAGTAAGTGTTTCTGGGCGGAGCTATAGGTTAAAACAGATACACCATTGGTGCGTTGGCGATTTCTGGGTTTGCGTAAATTATACCATAATCACGTGACCTTTCTTATGCAAGGCATATTCGTCTCGTGAGGTCAAGGCATAAGAAAGGTCATGTGATTATGGTATAATTTACGCAAACCCAGAAATCGTCAACGCAGCAATGGTATATCTATTACATAGAAAATGAGTATGCTTTAGGAAACTGTGACAAAATACAAAAATAAGCAGTTTTTGGACAAATAAAAATTATAGCTTTTCTGAGAAATAATGGGCCTTGAAGTGATTGATATACTTCCTTTCTTTTGCTTGCCATATTTGATATACATCAAGAGAAAAAGTTTGTATTAATTGTAAGTTAATTACTACAAATTCATATCATCGTACTGAGTTGCTAGTTTATGCAGGTTCATCATAACAGCCTGTATCACACATCCGTGCCAATTTTGCGGCTCCGTAAATAAGGTATTGCACGGTTGTGCATATATTTTGACGTAACGTCATTAGCGTTACACATAGTGTAAAGACACGCTAAATGTTACAGTCATATACTATAGGCACGTCAATGAAAAATGACTCTTTTTCCACTTAAAATGGTCATTTTTGCTTTTTTGGGGTATGTGAAAAATAGAATCTTAAATTCGTATAAGTTCATTACTGAATTTATTGAGTTCGTTAAATGAAATAACTTATGCTCGCCAGAGGCTAGCATAATATGATTTTATTCAACTCGTGCAATAAATTCAGTATTTAACTTACATTCATTCAATATCCTCTATTTCCAGAGATCATTGGACATTGTATCTAACTCATAACGCACCTTAAAAAACACATATAAAACCAACTTATAAACCCATCTTTATTCGCGAGTCTGTAATTAAAGTAATTATCATGTCCGTGCTTTGCTTGTGTACTGTCCTATTTCCTTTCTAGCAAGGCTCTGTACCAAAGCGTGAGGCATTTTGTGGTATATGTAATGTTTTTTTTTCCATTTTTCATTATAATTGTAAGATTTATAAAAAGATTTTATGTGTCGTATTGTCGCCCTTCTTTTTCTTTTTCGTTTTTTTTTTTTTTTTGCCTCGAAATTCTGAAAAAGTCGAAAACACGAAGAGACGAAGTCCTGTTTGTCATCCTTCAAAGTCCAACATTGTCATCCTTTCGTGTTTTTGCATTTTGAGGTGAAGGAGCGAAAATACGACACGGTATAGTGGCTATGACGGCTGAATTGGTACACTTTGCGCGTTGCGCTGTCGATAGCGACAACACAACCTATATCGTTATCACCTTTTCGTCTTGTCGCTAGCGAAGCACACCAAACGGCGCGTTGTCGTACGGCGCGTTGCCGCCCGCCCTGTCGTTAACTTATAAAATATACATATAGCCAATCCTTCGGTTTTAGCCGAGCGACAATGTGATATCGCGATTTAATATAATATTATATTGTCTTAATATTGAATATGAAAGACAAAGGCATAATACATGTAGATTATGTAAACTGTGTGATAAGCTAATTATTGAGGATGAATTTCATTTTGTGCTGGAACGTAACATCTTAAATGAAGACCGTATGAAATGTATACCACGATATTTTAGACAGAAACCTAGTATGATGAGATTTGTTGAACTTATGAAAACAGAGACGCATTAATTTTAAAAAAAATAGTCCCGGAATGGTCGAAGATTTCTAATATTGTTTTATTCTTTATAAATATACATGCTTATAGTAAGCTCCATGATTATTTACATCTGTGTTAAACAACAGGTTTAGCGTCGAAATAATAAGAGTTACAAACCCTAATTTAGAATAATATGGTTTTCTTCAGGTCGTTAACATATAACTTCACCTTGGCCGCTTGCTTAGGAATCGAGAGGTCTGGAGTTCAAATCCCAGTTAAGGCAACTCATTAATTTTAAAATTGTTAAACTCAAATAAACATTGAATTGAATGTCAGTGTTGCAGTTAGTCTTATATAGCCAATTTACTTCATTTAAAACACTGGAAAGCATTTGTGGTACTATACAAAAACAAATTGGTTGATAATCTCACAACCTTCACCTTTCTGACATTCTGAGACCCAAACAAATACAGCGCCTTCTGTGCTTTGATTTTTAGGAACGGTTTTATCACCCCCATTTGATAATAAATAAATAATTACGTAAACATTTAAAATATCGCCGATACGTGATTTCTTCATGTGTTCTTTTCATCAAAGACAGTAATTTTTATTACCCCTAACTTTTTTCGTAATGTTAATTTCCCATAGGCCTCTTGGAGTTATTTTTATTGTTAATGCAAGTGTACCACGTGACTAAGAATTTTGTAACAGTATATAAATAACACATGGGTTATACGCCGTGGGTAACAGTTTTTTTACGAGGTCTGATATTTTTACTGTTACCCACAAACCCATCATGTGTTGTAAACACCTTTGTTAGGCGCTCCAAAATATCCCAATTACATTGGGGGGCATACGTTGTATGCTTTGCAAATGTCAGTCGGTAATGTTAATGATGTAACTATTGTATTATATACTTCTGAATAATTACCATAATTGCAAGTAAGAGATTCAGTACATTTATTGTAATTGATCTCAGATTTTAATCATTTTATCAACTTTATGCCTAACAATATAACGGTTTTTAAATTTTACCCCCAATAAAGAAATTACTAACAAAAATTAAACATTTTATTACCTCCCTTTAATTGTTTGAGCCCTTAAAAAGCAATCGAACTGTTGGGAGAAAAAGCGGTATGCCTCACTTTATCTCTTGAGAAAAGGCAAACATGAGTTAAATAATGCTTAAATAACGATAGCGAGATCATATTAGTGTCCAGCTTTATTTGTCATCCAATGAAAACGCTTTATTTCTTAAAAATTATGTGTGTTAATTTTCATAGAAGAAAAAAAGTCGATACTATATTGAAGTCCGTTCATAGTCGCCTTCTATTTTTCATAGTGTTTCATGACGTTATCAAGGGCCAAATAAAGCTTGACACTATTAAAGTATATTAGTGTTCATCCGTAGCTGTTCTACAGAAATAAGAAACATTCTCCTGTCGCTATAAAGCTGGATTGTTATCTGAAGAAAGTAGCGCTAAGTGTGAAATTATTTGTCATAAAAATAGCAAAATGTAAATAAAGAAGTTTACATTTTGCGTTTTACTTATAAATCATACATGTAGTTACTTGGTGAAGCCTAGGCCCTATGGTCGAAAATAAAAATGAATCGAGAGAAAAATGGCGGCGATTTTATTTAGAAAATAGACCACGTGTTATTCTTACTGTTAATGCAAGTGTACCACGTGACTAAGAATTTTGTACTGTTACATAGACCCATAACAGTATTTTTTAACAGTATAAAATCTGGTCACGTGGTCTATTTTCTAAACAAAATGAAATAAAATGGGCGCCATTTTTTTCTCGATTCATTCTTATTTTCGACGATAGGGCATCGCCGAATTAACTATTACTCTCAT